GGCTGGCTGATCTGGGGTCTTCCGACCGCTGGTCGGACATCGAAAGCCGCGATCGGTCGGATCAAGTGGACGAGAAACCGAAGTGTTCCGGTCATCGAAAGCAGGGCTCTGGTGGAGGCCGTCGCTATTAGGTTGGAGGCCATTGCTATTAGTTGTCCTTCGCAAATACAATGATTCTTTCACGTGCCCCTTCTGATGGAATCCCAAGCAAAGCTTCAGACTTTGGACACAAGCGCTGAATCGACTTCGCAGCCGGCTGGCGATGTACCTGCGAAGTCCTATGGCATGCTCCGAAAGCATGCTGCACAAAGAGCAAGGAGTCGCAAGACCTACTGTTGACTAATCTTCACCCTTTCATCATGGTAGCAGCTTTCAACCTGCCGCAACCTACTGTACTTTACTTAAACACCCATGACTCACATCTCGTGTCTGGAGAGTGCTCTCGGCACCGTCATTTGGTGGCAAATCGGGAACTGGTACAACTCTTCAGCTCCTCGAAGCAAGCACGATATGATTGTTCATCAATGGAGTAGCAGTCTCCACTTCACGGAGCAAAGTGTCTGAAAGAGCAACGGCTTTGGCCAATCAATTCCCCAGGCTCGACTGGTGGAGTTCCCACCGAGCCAAACATGAGCCTTCGCACCGCCAACTGCACCGAGTGACGAGTCTTCCACACTTTGTTACCGCACCAAAGGCGATCCAGTCGCTGCATGGTGCGGCCTTTGACGTTGGATCGTTACTTTTCTAGAACATCGTGGGATGCTAGTCTAGCTAAGAAACAAGATATTGATATCGAGCACCAAGATCTTGCGCCTTCTATACTGTCATGAATCATGACGCTCTTGACGCTTCTTGAAGCTTAGCCCGTAGTACGCACGAACGCAGAACGCATTGATTGGCGCCTTTGGTCGCAGCGTCGCATCGGTTCAGGTGCTCGAGAGAGCAACTTCAGGCGGTACGTGGTCTGCAGTCGGACACCCAAATGCACCAGTCTACATGGGTTATCCCACACTTTTGGTGAGATCACCACTAGCTTGAAGCACATGACCAAGAAAATGGTTTCAAACCATGTCATGCAGCCTGCTCGACGATTTAAAAAGCCTTGGTTATACAAAGCCTTGGTTAGTCTCAGATAGTGGCTCTTGTTGTTGGGCTCCTTTGTCGGGGAACGTGACACGATCAATGAACGCGCCGGTGATTCCATGATCTACAGGCCTTTTGATCTGAACTGTGCCATCTCAGAAGCGCAGGAGTTTCAGGCACAAGCGGTCAGTGCAACAGTTGGAATTTCTGGGCGTTGAGATGCTTGTTGTACTTCAACTCATTGGTTGGCAATAGATGTACACTGCTTAGCTTGGTTTGGGTCAACTTGATCGAGCACATGAGTTACTGGCGACTCCAAGGTTGCAGGGGCAAGTTCCCGAGGTTGTCGGTTCTTCTGTCCCTGCTGCGCCTGGTGCTGTTGCCTCTTTGCCGTCCCAGCACGACACATTGCGGACATGGGACGCACAGGATCTGACGATGCTCGATCAAGCCGTACTCGTCTCGACGCGCATCAGGGAGACCGTGTGACGGTGCGATGTGTTGACTGTGTCACTGAGAGGCATCCGACCATGCCGAAGCTGAAGTGATGTCTGAGATGAGGGATGAAGATCATGGAAGAACTCCTGCGTGCTCGAACGAACGAGCCCAAAGAAAGCCGGGATTCCTTCCCACACCCATAGTGCAAGACCCTCAAAGGTGCAATTCGGAAGTGTGAGAGGACATCTCCACGAGAAACTTACGTCATGCCGAGTCAGATCTCTTCTTGAGCAAAAAAGATTGTATACCTTGGCCCATGGCAGCTTTGATGATCAACAGCTACCCGGATGCACATCCGCAACCTTTGAAACCTTGAATGCACAGGCACAAACCGAGTCTTCAGCTGTTTGCAGTGTGCAGTCTTTTGAAATCCTTTAACAAAACACAAACCTTGCACACGCGACATGAGAAAACACCTCTCGGGCACGAATGCCGCCGTGGATGGTTCTTTCGGCTCACATTGTAGGGCTTTGTGTTTCTGATCGTGTCCGTACCTCAACTGATGAATGGCAGCTGACAATGTCCGGTGCTTTCAACTGATGTGCAGGCGCTTTCCCCATAGGACGTCTGGGACAGCACGTGTTCCAGGGACAGCAAGGGACGACTGGTCGACCTTGAAATCTGTCTGCAGAACATCCTTCTTCACTGAACTGTCTCTCTCGAGTCGATTTGGTGAGACCAGGCTATTTCATTGTTAGATTGCGCTGACGAGGACGTCAGGGAATACCATCCTCGCCGGACGCTTCGTGGAAGGCACTCAAACCTTAGCCAGCATCGCCAAACAGAAACATGCGCAGAATGAATCTGAAACCTTACTGCTTGAGCCACGACCCATTGCCCATGCATGATAAATTTGACGGAATTCTCTGATGTCCTGAGAAATCAGTGCTCCAAAACAGGTCAATAAGTCCATCTTATATGGCGATATGAATGATCATCGACATCATGTTGTGACACCCCACTGACTCAGCGCCCTCAAGCCAGGGAGGGCGCACAGTAGCTCGGAAAGTCCTTCACGCCATAACAGCCATAACACTTCGGTGTTTGAGCCCAAAGTGTGCTCGGTTGGTCTTGGTCTAAAGGTGTGACTATCTTGAGTATGAGGTTTATGAGACTAAGGTCACATGTTCTGCATTTAATTTTGCACTGCTCCGCTCCATTGCAAAGGCGGGGAAATACAGTTCCAAAAGCTCATGATTTGGGGATTGAACCAAGCAAAAATCAACTTGTTTCACTCGAGCTGCTTACAAAGTACACATGGCAGGTCCACAAGTCTTGAGGACAGTAATTACGTTGGCAAACCGGATGTGTGTGTGTGTGTGTTAAGAGGAGAGGTGGGTAGAGAACAAGTGTGTTCAGAGAGGTGGAGTTTCAAGTCGGACGCCAACCGATTGCAACATGTGGAGCACGGCCCCAACGGCCGTTGGTACTTTTCATGTTATCTGAATTGCTCGGCAACTTTCTCTTATCATGTCGGGGCCTAGATGATATCTTAAGGGTTGCACGGAAAGGGCCCGAAAAGGAAGCGGACAAGTTACTTCGGGTGATCCCCGCCCTGAGAGGCGATTTGGAAGAAGCCAGACTATCCTGACAAAAGCTGCCTGACACGTGCACTGAGGCAATGTTCTGTGATTAGTTCTGGCACCAATTCTGGTATGTGTTCTGACACATCATCTAGTGTAATGGCTGGCAAATGTTCTGAAGGTGTTCTGATTGTGACACTTGTCCTGCCATCAAGTCTGACATGAGTTCTGACATACTGCCTGGCATGTATGTCTGACATGTGTTCTCGCGTCAACACATGTTTCTGTGACATATGGTCTGACTTCTGTTTTGATATGTTCTACCATGTGTTCTGACAAAATGTCCTACACTTGTTCTGATGTGATTTGTTCTGGCATATGTTCTCTGCATAGGTCCCACACGCGCCACTCTCCACCAGCCTGCACCGGCAGAGCGGCCGAGGTGGATGGTGGACGGCGGGCGACAGACAGAAGTCACTGACATCAAATGTAGAGACCCTCACCAGACAGGGTGGAAAAAAAGGACACAGAAAAGGAAAAGACAGGCTGACAAAAAGAAACAAACTAAACCTGTGTTTAAAAGTAAGCAAGCACAAGGAAAGGAAACAGGAGACTGGACAAAGACAACAACCGGTACTGGCAAAGTTGTTTTGTTGCAACGGGAACCCAAGAGAAGACCGTTTTGGACGCATCATTGCTTCAATCTGAACCCAGGTTGCTCAAGCTTGGGTCCTTTGGTCCCACAAACATGCCGTAACGTGGTAGTGGGATGAACATTGAGGGTCCATGTGAAGTCTGCGCGGGTCGAAACCACCCGGTAGACGCCCCAAACGAAGGAAAATCCCCGAACGCTTCCTTCAGGGGGCATGTGACATGGGAAACCCGTGTGTGTGTGTGTGTGTGTCGGTGCGTCAGGAAAGAACCGAGGCCTGTGAGTGAAAAATGAAGAATAGCAATTCTGTGAAAACAGGTGAAAATTAGTTCAGAATCACTGACACTCATGTATATATATATATATACTTATGTAATCTTACGTATACTACTGATGTTCACAATGCTCTGACAATCTCTGACACGCATGCTTCCAACATGGAGACATGGACACATTGTTTCCGCTGGCGCTCACGTGTAGCCATAGGTCCCAGGATGACTCTAACGGATCATGCGAACATGAGCAGAAATAGTAGGCGACCTTCAGGCGAATCCGAGTCGGAATCTTGCTTTCGAGCCCAAAGAAATTTGAAGGCTTGCCAATTGAAGCGGACCGGACGAAAATTCCGTGTTTGGACACATTGCTGGTCCAATAGGGTGCACTGTGGAGCAGTGGGGCATCGCAACCTCTTTGGGTCAAGCGAAAGATCTCCTTCGCTGCCTTGCAGCATTTGGACACTCTCAGAAAGGAATTGGATCAGGAGCCGAGCTGGCACCGTGCTGGGCAAGTTCGCACTTGGCCTGCAGAATTGGAACAGTCACCTTACAGGTGCTTTGGTAACCGCTGGATCACATCTGTGTGCATCTACCGAGAATATGACGATCCTCCGCAGGATTGACCCGTCTGGAACACGTTGCTCTTTCGACCACTGCAGTGGCAATGATACCTCATACGGCAAAGTATGGTTTACGCACAAAGACTTGCGCGGACTTGTGGATCCATCATTTCCAGTTACTGGACATTTCTAGCAACTGGGTATTTCTAGAACCATTCTCTGCACGAAGGTCACAGCAACTGTTCAACTTGAACGCTTAGTCTCCATCTGGGTCAACACTAATGCCCGTCATTCACTGCAGGCACAGTCTCAATGCCTTACTTCAAAGTCGCAAAGGCACGCAAGGCTGCTCAGTCGTGCTGGTGCAGCGCAAGTGCTGTGAACAAAGGCCAAAACCATAGCAATAGACATGGCCAAGCTTTTTCTTGTTGCAGTGTGTGAGAAGCTGGCTGTTGGAGAGATAACAGCGCTTCAAGCGAAAAGCGTCGATGGAACTCCTAAGCAGTATCCTCACCAAGAGAATATATATTCAAGGATGCTCCGCACGGGTGACACACCGAAGACACCGACTTCATGGGGGGACATGACCGAAAAAAAGATGCGACCGAAGACCGCCGCGCGCGCCGCCGCGGTCGCTGGCTCACTTCATTTGCGGTACCAATTCTTTGAAGACGGGGAGCAACACAAAAAGCTCCAAGTATGCCCGCCGGAGGCGAAAACCGCCCTCATCATTTCAACTCCTACTCTGGCTCTTGGATTTGCATGTTGCCTGCCTGTTCAACACTGCTTCATGTGCGTCCTTCGTTCACACCGTTGGCAAGCAGCACCCTGGCAATAGTCTGAAGTGTCCCTTACGGAACGCTTTGCTGATCATCTGTGATGGCACGATCAAAAGCCTGTGCAAGTGTCGAACGCCAATCGAGAAGGTGTTTTGCGTGGCTTCCGTCTTGACTTTTGTGCGCCCTTTTGTGCCCAGGCCCACCTTCGCAAGCTTTCGAGAAAGAGGATACTTTGAACTTTTAACTGCATGAGAAAAGCTGGACTTCGCAGAGACTGGCGACTCTTCGCGACATCTTTCGCCGCTCTTCGGCGAAGGACCGTGAATGAAGACTGGTGTGGCTCTGCCATGCTGGGGCCTCCAGTGCAACTGGCCCATGGCTGAGGTTCCTACTCTGCGGGGTGGTGTGGGCAGCCGTCAGCCTTCGTCAAAACGGTCTCTTTGCGCTTCGCCTTTGTCGCCCCAAACGGAAGCGGAAGCGTGGCTTCCGTCTTGACTTTTGCGCGCCCTTTTGTGCCCAGGCCCACCTTCACAAGCTTTCGAGAAAGAGGATACTGGCGACCCTTCGCGACATCTTTCGCCGCTCTTCGGCGACGGATCCCTCGAAATGCCTTTGGTGAAAGCATCTTAGTCTTACGTGAACTTTGAATCCCTCGAAAGTACATATAGACACAGTTCGGTGGTTATGTTCACTTTAAAGGAAGCAAGGCTTTACCAATGACTGCCCATGGTGAAGGCAGGCATTCCGCTGACAGTCTCAATAGTCAATCAAATCAATCAATATTCTCTGCATCTCAAGCAAAATCGGTCTGTGCTTGAGTCTGAAGGCCAGGGCTCGAAACGGGAAGAAAACACCACAGTGGTAGAACCAAAAAGAAGAACACCAGGTGTGGCCATGATCCCTAGGTTGGTGAGTACACCGTGAATGAAGACTGGTGTGGCTCTGCCATGCTGGGGCCTCCAGTGCAACTGGCCCATGGCTGAGGTTCCTACTCTGCGGGGTGGTGTGGGCAGCCGTCAGCCTTCGTCAAAACGGTCTCTTTGCGCTTCGCCTTTGTCGCCCCAAACGGAAGCGGAAGCGTCTTCGGACGAAGCTTCAACCGACAGAGCGGAACCGTCCGAAGACAAGCTCTCCCATGCAGGACAAGACGTCAACGAGAAGGCGGCGCAACTGGCTTGCCGTGACTGGTCCCATAGAAGAGAATGCCATTGGTTTCTTTTGCTTAGCATGCTTGAGAAGTCTGACTCTAGATTCTATACAGATCGTTTCGGCATTTACTTATCACATGAAGCTTCTGCATTTGTTGGGAGCTGGCCAGGAATCACATGGCCAACGTCATAGGACCGGGAAGCATTTCGAAGTTGCATAGCAGGAATCAGTATTTTGAGCATTAGCACTACCACAAGTGGGATTTGACATGCTACAGGGAATCCATCACTGGCCATATTGTTCCTGCTACGCAACTGAAGAGAAGTCGATGGCTGATTCGGACAAAGCCTCAAAAGCCTTCTGGCAGGAAAGCCACCGCCGCTGCCATATTGGACTTTCTGGAGCACATTGAGAGAACTACGTAGGACTAGACCTCACTGGCAAAGAACGTCCACGCTCAATTCGTGGAGTCAGTCTGCAAATGCCAGATTGAAGCAACATAACGTCAGTTGCCTCCGGATTCGTCTGGACTGTATGACGTTGGCAGTGCCAGGACTTGACCGGACAGCAAGTTGGAGGCAACGTGATGGGCTCAAGATTGAACCAAATTGACGGACTCAGCTTGATTCGAGCGCCGGCAAACCTGATTTAATCCTGAGACTCTTTTCGGCCTTGTCCTCTGCACAGGAATTCCCAGATCGGTCCAATCTGTCCATTCCAGGCGTCAAAAGGCATGTCAACTATCATCATTGGCAAGCAAGAACAAGGATATCTGGTCTTGTTCTCCTATTGTGCCCCATCTGAAGGGATCACTTCATGTTGGGAATGTCCAGAAACGGGACCCTGCATGAGCCCTGTTCATGTTTCCTCTTGCCACTTGGGATAGGGAGCTCTGGCTTTCGCCATATAGAAGCATGCGTGCTGGATCTACTTGCGAGTTCTTCCTGACTCAATGACAGAAAAGCATGAACCGAAGCACGAAGCACTCCTTTCAAATCTTGGAATCTGTATATATAGCCAGTCAACTTTGCTTCGGGTGCAAACACTCACAGGATGGATAAAGTTTGGTGACTTCCAAGTTGCGGGTGATTGATGATCTGCAAGGTCTAAAGGAGCACCTACAAGCTAGAATCAAATCCAATGCTTGGACCACAGCAAGTGGTTGTCAATGCCCAGAACTTACTTTTGCGTGTGTTGGCCAACATCCTTTTGGCCTCCAGATTCCTTACTCTGCTGGACGACCCATCCAAGCAGCACCAAGTCCCTGAAAAAGAAGGCCGCTCACACACAGCAAGAGGCAATTTGGCTTCCACTTCGACTTTCAGTTTGCCCACATCGATCCTCCCTTATCCCACAGCCACTGCCAGGCCCACCTGAGGTGTTTCAAACATATGAGACGAGCACCTAAGAATATTGAAATTAGAACGATTTGCTGGCCGGAGATGCATCTGGTACGCTACATGTGATTCGCAGCATGTCTTTTCTTGCCCCAATCAGATCCAATCATACTACAAACCCATCCAAGAATGTAACCCTGTCCAAGAATGTGACAGGGACTCTAGATCAAGTTCAGTGCTCCAGAGCATAGTGATGTTCTACACTATGCCCATCCACTTTTCCTCGGCAGACTGGAGCGAGTCGTTCTACATTGATGGCGCCCTCATCACGGCAGCGACTTGCAGCGACTTGCCCTCCGCCTTGCGGTTCTTCCGCGCTGGAAACTGCATTGCCTTGCACAAGGACTGTAGTTGCCACTCTCCATCATGTGTGGCACTCTCAGAAAGGACTCCATGATTTGATTACGCCAAGCAGGCAGGTGAGACTCGGTGAGACCCCTGAATTCGAGATCTCAAGGGAGCACTGCCTCATCCACACCTGAACCAAAAGGGTGCTAAGCAATGGTTCACAGGCCAGCAAGAATCAATTCTGGCGGTCCACGTGTCACAAAAACGGAAAACACACAAAGTTACTGCGAAGCTTGAGCAACAGAAGGACTAAGCGGCCACAGGAGTGTACCCCACATGAGAGACATGTTCCAGCAAATTTGTTACTTTGGAATTATCAACCGTCCTGTGACGGCATGCCTTGCATTGCACAAAGAGCCTCTGCTGTGATTTTGATTCAGATCGACTGCCTCTTGCAGGTTGATATGGACTGGATTCAACAAACAAAGACGAACTTGGGACCTGCAGGCTTGAGGCTTGAGGTTCATGTCTTCCATTCACCAAGGGAAATTGTTGGCTGCCCTGCAGTATCTTGTTACTGTACATGTTTTAATGAGGTGTGAAGTGTCACAATTCCATAGTTGCAGTGACAAATGATGAATGTGCAACATTGTGCAACTGTGTCAGGAACTTTCTCAACTTCAGAGTGATTGGCAAAATTTATGCCACCAAATGGGGATGCTAGTGGAAATCAGAAGCCTCAAGGGCCCTTTCAGCAGACCAAGGATGATGTTCACTTGAGTTTAAATCAACGATCAATCGCAACCAATCGCGTGGCCAGCTTGCTTCTGTGTCATTTCCATTCTGACTGGAGTATCCAGGGCAAGACAGTATGCCATTGTCGGTGCACAACAAAAAGTACTTCTGCTCAATCCGAAGGAGGCACACACACAGATTGCCGAGGGCTGGAAAACCGACCAGCAGCGACGGAATCCGTTGGCGAACGACGAAAGCCTGTGAAGGCTAGCGCT